TGAGATGATACCTATATATACATGTTTAAAATTTACTATTATATTTAAAGATAAAATGCCTTTTTTAAAAAGAAAGGTCTTAAGTCTGTTTTTAAAAGTTTCCACTGTTGACGCCTCACGAATGTCAGAGAGAAGTTCAAATTTACTATTATATTTAAAGATAAAATGCCTTTCTAAAAAGAAAGGTCTTAAGTCTGCTTTTAAAAGTTTCCACTGTTGACGCTTCACGAATGTCAGCGGGAAGTTCATTCCACAAAAAAGGACCAGCCTTGGCAAAAGCTCTGTCGCCAAACGTTTTCCTCATTGTCTTAAGAGATGATTGCCTTGTTTGCACATCTGGAGGAAAAGGGACATGTTATGCTACCGGAGTAACGTATGAAATAGTATGCAAGGAATGGAATTGTAAATATGTAGGCGAAACAGCCAGAAGCGCCTACAGCCGTGGACTGGAACACCTAAAAGCAAGTAAAACTGGTCAGGAGCAATCGGTTATGTGGAAACACGCACGTGAGAAACATGGGGGAAAGATACCTGCTTATGTTATGGACGTGACTGGAATTTTTGGTGATGACGCGATGTTACGACAAATTACGGAGTCGGTTTTGATAAGGAATACACTAGGAGAAAAACTTATGAACACAAAGAACGAGTGGAATCAGTGGCGTAACGGAGGAACAGGGGGCCCTTAGGCATATTTGGTGTGGGGGCCCCTGTTGACTGTTGTCATTGTTTGACTCATAAGATATATTTTTATATCGAGTATTTATAGAATGTAGTCTGGAAAATTCCATGTCTATAGCAATAACAGTCTCCAACACATGTAACAGCTAATAAGAATAACATTTGTTTTATTTGAGATGGAATAAAAAAATCAGCTACCGTTGTCGATGGAGGTTTAATTGTTTAGATTATTAATTTTGCATTTTCCCATTGATTCTTAACCTGCATTTTTTACATTTTCTAATTTTCTGGGCGATAGGCCGTGGGTGATGGGGCCCTAACTGTCGGGGACCCTTAGTTTTGGAACTAACCCTACCCAATGAGCGCTACGCCACTGAGTGGAATTACGTTAGCTTTCCACGAGCACAAGTAGTGTTAGATTAATTTGCCATGTAATAGGCCGTATTCTGTGGCACGATATCGTTCAGTTCCGTTGCCCGGGTTCGGGCACTACTTTGAAACAAGATAAATAATTAGGATAAATTATACAAAGTTCAAATCCGCTTGTTTGCACTTCCCAAAACCTGCAGTTTTCGAGTA